AAAAGCTGATCTACTAGGATTTTCACACACAACCATCTCTAGGGCCTGCAGAGAATGGTCTGAAAAAGAGAAAATATCTAGTGTGCAGCAGTTGTTTGGATAAAAATGCTTTGTTGATGTCAGGAGTCAGAAGAAAATGGGCAGACTGGTTTGAGGTGATAGAAAGGCAACAGTAACTCAAATAACCACTCACTACAACCAAGGTATGCAGAATATAATTTCTTATGATTATGATTAAGTCCTGGAAGTGACAAAACGCGTCAAGGGAAGTGATGTCAGTTGCACATGGAGGAACCAGAAGTAGCGGAGCGGCCATCTTGGATAGTGGAATTACTTGCAAAACACTCCTGGAAGCTGCTCGGCCACTGCAGAGGTTTGGAGTCATGGTAATATGGCGGTTTTAATATGTATTTAATGTAAGAGCATTATTAAAGTATATTTTGAATACTATATACAGAATTACACTATATCCTTTCTATATATCATTTCTACATCTGTGGAGCCTGGGTACTATGAGTACTATGGAGTACTCCTATTAAAGCCATGATGACATCTAGGAGAAGCGTCTATGAGGCTGTGATGACATCATAAAGAGTATTACTCAGACTGGGAAGGTGGTCCTTTGAGTAAATAGAATATACCCCCTGCTGTACTAAGGTGTGTTTTTTATGGTCATTTGGTAAGGGTATTTATTCCTTACACTGTAGAAGTATACACTGCTATTGTCACTTGGATTATCTCAATTCACAAGCGTGATTCACCATCACGGCTGTTAGTGTTCACTTTCACTTATGTGGTCAAGCTTGATTTGAAGTTGCACAATGCATATTGTTTATAGATCATTTTTGATCATTGTTTATAAAGGTAACACACTATATAAGTTTTTCTTTTTTTGAGGTTCACATTGTCCATTGGAGCCATTTGGAGGGCTCTGCAACAAAGATTTGGGATTTTTCTTTATTGGAATCAGAGTTTGGAATGACTTTATTTTTGGACACGAGTGAATAATTTTGTTTTTGTTTTTTTAGGAGACCAAATGGATTTTCACATTTTGTATTTATTTTTATATTCTAGTATGGTTTGAGCATATTGGGGTGGTATTAAGATTACTTATTAAACTGCCTGATTTTAACACATCTACACCTAGAGTGGTGCCGCTGTGTTTTCTCTCTCCCTATCTGTGTACTACAGTTTCTTCAAGCTCTGACAGCTGGTTGCTTCTACCTCCAAAATCCATATCCACCCAGCAACTACTCTCACCTTTGGAACCCCAACAATAGGATAGTGCCGGATTATATTCCCGCAAGTCCCAATTTCTATGTATTGACTCATACTCTTTATTTGGTCTACATACGTATTACTCTTATATCTGTCTGGGACTGTATTCTAGGACATCCCCCCCTGTCCACAATAATTGTTTTGCAAACATTTTCCGATTTGTTAAAAAGCCTCCAAGTTACCTTACCAATACTTCTGTTTTTTCAATAAGGAAATAGAAAACTACTTCAGTCGGTCAGGCAGGTCACATGAGTACAGATGTGCTTTCTGATACAATCAAAGATGGACAGAGGTCTTACTGCCCATTGTTATCAGAGAAACATCTGTCCATCTATGTTCAGAATTCTTCAGAATATATACTAATACAGATTAGTCTGCTCAAGAGCATTTTTTAGTCCATTAAAGTTCTGGTAAATTTCTAAGCCCTGATGAAGGGGTGTCTTCTGGTGCCTGAAACACATTGAATGTTTTTTTTTTTTGCCGTGAACTGATTTGTCAATAAAAGACAATGAACTCTCAAAACATTTGTTTGACACTCTAATTGGCCTGAATATACATGGATTCTCAATCTGAATGACCCTCCTTTTCAATGGGGCCTCCTGTTTTGTGGGATGCTGCTGAACCAAAGCCATCAGGTCCAACTGGTGACTTCATTTACCTGTTTAAGCTTTGTTTCCAGTGCCTCACTGCCACCTATGCATGGAGCTATGTTTGTGTGAAAAAGCTGTGTAAATGTAAGGACTGGATAGACAGAAATACAGATATTTTGGAATGTAAAGTAGCTGTCTTACATGTTCTTCATCTGTATTATCATTTGTAGAGTTCAGCCAGCTTTAAGTCTTAAAGATGTGTGTTAGGGGTTAAGTGTGTGTATGTGTGTGTGTGTGTGTGGGGGGGTGTTAAGTGGTAAGGGATTTTTTTAAGGTAATAAAGAGTTCACTTTAAGGGGTTGAGTGTTGGGGAGGTTATGTGTTCTGGTAGGGGTAGACTAAGTTTTATAGCAGTTCTATGGTGCTAGCTAGCTACTATTCTTGCTGGTTTGTTGGCATCGTATGCCTTACAGATAGAACTGCCTTGAAGGGTGCCAGCCTAAGCGTCTTATTTTCAAAGAAAGTTTATCAAAAACACAGATTGCTCTTTCTCTGAACTGTAACTCGACAGGTACTCTGCTGCTGGGAGGTTGCAGGTCTTTCTCAATTTCTAAAAACTTATAAACTAAATAACATCGAAGAAGTTAGAACCGGGGCTCTGATGTTTTATCTGCTTCAGTTGCTATGTCTGCTCCTTGGGGAAATAATTTTACCTCTTTTCACATTGAGAATAGATTGTATGATTTTACTCACTAGGTACAATGCTAGCAATAGCAGACTAAAAATCAATAAAGAAAAGAGAGTCTGTAAAGCAGAAATACTGTATAGAACAGTTTTCAGTCTGCAAAGTAGGGTAGGGTAGTTTTACATTTCACAACAGAAGTATAGAATTATCTATAACCCTCATAGATAGGTCCATCCAAAAGTATATTCAGATTTGGGAGTATTCTGGGCTTCCTTTATGTCTAGGGAACTGCAACAGCAAGATCTCTGCCATCCTTGCTCCTGTTGTAGCAGGAAATATCTTGATGTTCCTGCAAATATATCAGTGATAATGAGACCCCCTTACAATGGTTACAGCAAGAATCTTTGAATTCAAATGAAGACTTCTTGCTTTCTGAGCTCCAAAGGATACTTGTAAAAGGCTGGTGATTCATCTCTGTGTGACATAGAGAGGAAAGAAAAAGTCTACACAACCCTGAAAAAATGCCAGGTTTTTGAGACCACGATAGATACTCCTGATTTTTTTCCACCTTTAATATGACCTATAATATGTACAATTCAAGAAAAATAATTGAAAATACAAATAAAAATCTTAAATTAAAGCGGTTGCACAAATATGTACACCCTTAAGCTACTACTGTACTTGGTTGAAAAACCTTTTGCTTTTATGACAGCATTCAGTCTTTTGGGGTAGAAATCTATCAGCAGGGCATCTTGCATCTTCCCTTTGGGAATCTTTGTCCACTCTTTCCTGCAAAATTGTTCCAAATCTTTCAGATTGTGAGGGCATCACTTGTGCACAGCCCTCTTCAGGTCATTACACAGATTTTCAATTACATTCAGGTCTGGGCTCTGGCTGGCCCATTCCAAAACGTTGATCATTTTCTGGTGAAGCTTTCTTTTGTTTATTTGGAGGTATGCTTTGGGTCATGCTGAAAGATGAAAATCCCTCTTCATTTTCAGCTTTTTAGCAGAGTCCTGAAGGTTTTGTGCCAAAATTGACCGATATTTGGAACTGTTCATAAGTCCTTCCAACTTTACTAAAACCCCAGATCCAGCTGAATAAAAATAGCCCCAAAGCATAATGCTGCCACCACCATGCTTCACTGTGGGTATGGTGTTTTTTTGGTAATGTGCAGGGTTGGTTTTGTGCCAAACATACATAGTTGTCTGGCTGAAAAAAGACAAAAGTCCATCTAGTTCAACCATAAAAAAAAAGTTATAATCTTATACCCACAGATCCAGAGGAAGGCAAAAAGCCCTGTAAAGTATGGTGCAATTTGCTCCTGCAAGGGAAAAAAATTCCTTTCTGATCTCCCGAGAGGCAATCAGATATTCACTGGATCAACTTTACCTATAAATGTTAGTATCCAGTTATATTATGTGTATCTAAGAAAGAATCCAGGCCTTTTTTTTAAGCAATCTACTGAGATGGCCAGAACCAACTCTTGAGGGAGTCTATTCCACATTTTCACAGCTCTTACTGTGAAGAGACCGTTTTCGTATTTGAAGATTAAACCTCTTTTCCTCCAGATGTAAAGTGCTTAACCTTACATTTATCAACATTAAAACCTCATTTGCCACATAGTTGCCCAATTAAACAGTGCATTGAGGTCAGTTAGAGACATCCTGTAAGGACATTATTCCACTACACAGCTTGGTGTCATCTGCAAAGACTGAAACTGAATTTTTAATCCTAGACCATATATCTTTTATAAATATATTAAAAAGTAAGGGTCCCAACACTGAACCTTGGGGTACACCACTAACAACCCTAGACCATTCAGAGTATGAGTCAATAACAACTACTCTACTATGAATACAATCTTTTAGCCAGTTTTCTATCCATTTCTATACTAGTTTTTCCAAGCCTGTAGAGTTTACCCTACAAATTAGCCGTGTGTCAAATGCTTTTGCAAAATCCAAGTATACCACGGCCACCACCACCCCCCCAGTCCAAGGTTTTCTCCCCTCCTCATAAAAAGAAATCAGATTTGTTTGACAACTTCGGTCTTTCATGAATGCTTTCTGTTGCTTAAAATTTTTTTTTAGAACTCATCTATGTGATCTTTTATTAAACTCTCCAGTATCTTCCCAACTATAGATGTTAAATGAACAGGTCTATAACTACTTGGTAAAGATTTTGATCCCTTTTTAACCACTTGCCTACAGGGCACTTATACCCCCTTCCTGCCCAGGCCAATTTCCAGCTTTCAGTGCTGTTACAGATTGAATGACAATTGCGTGGTCATGCAACACTGTACCCATATGAAATTTTTATCATTTTTTTTAGATAGATAGAGCTTTCTTTTGGTGGTATTTAATCACCTCTGGGATTTTTATTTTTTCTTAAACAAACCAAAAACCACTGAAAATTTTGAAAAAAAAAAGTTTTTTCTTAGTTTTTTGTTATACAATTTTGTAAATAAGTGATTTTTCTCCTTCACTGATGTGCGCTAATGAGGCTGCAGTGATGGGCACTGATAGGCTGCACTGATGGACACTGATAGGTGGCACTGATGGGCACTGGTAGGTTGCACTGATGGGCATTGACAGCATCACTGATGGGCTCTGAAAGGCAGCACTGATACATGACACTGATAGGCAGTACTGACTGGCACTGTTAGGCAGCACTGACTGGCACTGTTAGGCGGCACTGACTGGCACTGATAGGTGGCACTGACTGGCACTGATAGGCGATACTGACTGGCACTGATAGGTGGCACTGATTGGCATTGATAGGTGGCACTGACTGGCACTGATGGGTGACATTGAAAGGCAGCTAAGATGGGCACTGATATGTGGCATTGATGTGCACTGGTATGCACTGACATGTGGCACTGATAGGCACTGGCACAATGAGCACTGACTGGTGGCACTGATGGACACTGACAGGTGGCACTTCTGGGGCCACACTGATCATCAGGGCACACTGATCATCAGTGCCCTGATGATCAGTGTACATGTCCCCTCCGCGGAAAGCTGATTACCGGCTCTCCTCTCCTCTCGAGCTGTCAGCGTGACAGCTCGAGAGGAGAGAAATGCCGATAACCGGGACATGTGTTTACATGTGATCAGCTGTGATTGGACACAGCTGATCACATGACTGAGCCGACATCTTCGGCTCTTTCCGTGATCCGCTGTGTCCCAGGGACACAGCGCACCGGCGATCACATGCACGGTGAGAATGGAAGGACATCATATGACGTCCTATCAGAATGAGAGAACCACCTTGTGCCCGTCATTGTACTATATGGCGGGCAGGAGGTGGTTAATTATAGGCACTACATTAAAAATTAGAAACATTGGCTTTGAAATGACAGAGCTCAATTCTTTCTGTGTATGCCATCTGGTCCAGGTGCTTTATTCACCTTTATTCTGTCTAAATATTTCTGGTCATATCAATTATGAGCCAACACAATACCTTTTTCAGTCATGGCCATATACAGTAGTTCAGCCTTGGTCTCATCAGGCCACAACACATGTTTTTTGGCAGACTTGATCTAGGTGTTTGCAAAATGTACAGGTCTTGGATGTTTTTCTTAGTAAGAAAAAGCTTCTGTCTTAACAATCTACCCCACATCGAAAACACATGAAGAATATGGGAGATTGTTGTCATATGTAGTGCACAACCAGTACTAGCCAAAAATTCCTGCATCTCCTTTAATATTGCTGTAGGCCTCTTCACAACCTCCTGGCCCAGTTTTTTAATCAATTTTGGAGGAACGTTCAGTTCTTGGTAATGTCACTGTTGTGCCATATTTTCTCCACTTGTTGATGATCATCTTCCCTATGTTCCATGGTATATCTAATGCCTTGGAAATTTTAGTACCTTCTCCTGACTGATACTTTCCAGCAATGAGATCCCTTTGATGCTTTGTTTGTGAGTTGTTTACAGACCTTGGCTTTTGCTGTAAGAGGCAAGTGAGTAAATGTCAAAAAAATCCTACTGAACAGCCAAACTTTATATGGGCTTAATCAGAGTCACATTTATTGACGGCAGGTGTGTACTGATTACTATTTAATATTAGTTTGTTCACACTAGCTTTGTTAGCAGGCGTTAGACAGGTTATATAGGCGTTTGGGAAGCATTTTTAACACTCCTTAAACGCCTATGAAAATTCTGCACATGGCAGCACATAGTGCTGTTCACACTGAAGCATTAGCGTTGTGGCAAAATTGACTCATGTTGAGTCAGGAGGAGTTGAAGCCTCCCATTCAAGTCTATGGTGACGCTTGGCAAATGCCTATCAAGCGCCTCAAAAACGTGCATAGGGTGTATGGGAGCATTTGAGGAGAGTTAAAATACATCCCAAATGCCTGTCAAACGTTATAGGGTTGTTTGGCAGGAGTTAGAAATTAGTTAAGTGTGAACGAGCCCTTAGAATGTGACTGAATAATTCATAACACAGCCACAGTCTTAATTATGAGTACACCCATGCAACCATATTATTATTTTTTTAGACACTAAACAATTTCAGTTTGTTTTTTAATTGAATTGCAAGGATTATAGGTTACATTGAAAGTGCAACAAACTCAGAAGTGATTTTTCTTGGTTTGATTTTTTTACATCTCAGAAACCTGGAATTTTACAGGGGTGTGTAGACTTTTGCTTTCCACTGTATCAAAAACTAATATACATGCTTTTTAAGATGACTAAAGCTGGCCATACATTATACAATTTTCGTGTTCCATTTCCTTAGATTTACCTTCAGCTATGTAGTAGAAAGGCCTGCCTGATTGCATACAAATTGAAAGTGTTTAGGTTTGACCTCACATTAATTGGTTTTGGTAAATCCGAGGCTCCATTCACACCAATGCGTTTTTTAGTGCTTTTTGCAGAAACACACTACAGTCTATTTAACATTGTTTCCCATGGAACATGTTCACATCTATGCTTTTTAGAGCTGCTGCATTTTTGGAAAGGGTCAGGGACTTTTTTAAAAGCAAAAAGCAGAGTTTTTGCTACAATAGAGTTCAATGGTGAAGCTGCTGAAGTACATAGTAGTGTGTTTTTTTTCTGTGTTTTTGCCGTGCTTTGCGTTTTCTATTTTAATTCTGCCCAGCAACAAAAAAAATTCCACTTTAACAGAAAAAAAAAAAGCTGAACAAAACGCAAAACACAGTAAAAAAAGCGTCATTGTAGAAAAATGTAAAACAAACAGCAAAAAGCACTGGAAAAAGCATCAAAAGCAAAATGCATATATGTGAACCAAACCTTAAGAAATATTGTACAATAAGATTGTATAATGTATGGCTAGCCTACATTAAAAATATTCTGTTGGCTTAGCTAAGATCCAAGTGTGTTCCATTTATTTTAATTATAGTACAACATTGCCACTTAACGTTTTCCACAAAACTAAAGAGCAGCTGTTAAAAGAAGTAGCTTTCTCTAATACTCACCTTCAATCTGGCACTGTCTTCTCCAACAGATGGTCCTTCCCAGATTGAAAGATGACCAGCTTCATTCCACCTTCTTCCTGTGAGCCCAACTGTCACTGACACACCCCCTGCCAAAATGTTATCATTATGGCCTGGGCTCACAGTACTGTTATACAGAATAAATGCTCACATTGTCAGTAATGCTTTGTTACCCTCTGTAAGAGTATGCTTGCACACATGTACCTTGTGGTAACACGCAATAAACACATTTTTTACCTTTTGTACCATTACTGAAACACGTGGTACTATGTAGGATGGGGTACCCATTCATTTAGAGTGGCACCCCAATGCACACATACATTGCTGTAAATACACCTTAAAACAGTGCAGCTGCTTTTTTTAATGCAATAAGGTGCACTTCCAGCCTCAGTGAACAAACGCATGTGGATTAACATGCTTTAACAGCTGCACAGGTGCTAAGGAGGAGGATAAAACAGGAAGGCGCTTCTAAGTGCAGTATATCCAGATTGACTTTAATAACAGTTATAGGCACTTACAAAGTGGCAGTAAAAACAGGCTCTGTATGATCCATCTGTCCACCATGCGGGAACCCGCTGTGCCAACCAGCAGCTGCAAGGGGAGCTAAAGATGGGATGACAAAGATGGCCACCGCTAGTTTCGGGTCGCTGGAACGTACGCTGTCCAGGGGACCGCGAGTGACGTGGGCATGGAACGGTGACACATGTGCATGTGCAGAGCTCCTTCTTCAAGACCGATGCCAAAAGCCGGGAGGAGCCAAATAAATAGGAAGGAGGGGCGTGGAAGCTCCCCCTGCAGCTGCTGGACGGCACAGAGGCCCCACATCCTGACGGATCCTACAGAGCTTGTTTATACTGCCACTTTGTGTTTCTAACTGTTATTAAAGTCAATCTGGATATACTGCACTTAGAAGCGCCTTCCTGTTTTATCCTCCTCCACATACAGAGTCTGCTTCAATTCCTAGAAGTGCTGCCCAGTGCTGATGTCCAGATCCTCATCCATCATTGGCTGACATTCTCTGTTCACAGCATCCTCCATTGATGTTCCCTACACACATCTTCTACAGGGGCTAAGGAGCCCATTGTAATAACGAAGTGATGTGGTGCTGCCTTCAGTTCAGACTATTGCAGGCCCTGCGGCCCACATTTGCTCAGGCACAGCAACCCATTAATTTCTGCACAAAAAAAAAATGCGGCCGCAGGGAAACTGCATGGTCTGCGGTTTCTGCAGTTGAAATCACGCTGTGAGCTGAGATGTGTGTGGGTGCCATTCAGAATGGCATCTCGTAAGGCTCGATTCACATCTATGTGGGAACAGAAGTGATTCCAGCACCCGCAATCAGCCTGCATAGTGTGAACCAAGGGTTAGAGTGTATTTAGGTTATTTCTGAATGCAAATTCCCATTAGTGGAATGTTACATTTGGTATTGGGTTTAAAAAAATGCAAGCTATTAAAATAGACCTGACACCTTGTTTAAATATTTTTGGTAGGAAAAAAATTAACATAGTCTAGATAAGATCCATTTCTTTGTCCTCTGTAAAACAGACACACAAATACACAGTTGACTTGGCAGATATAGTACTGTATTTGCACCTGTTACCTTGTAGAGAGATACACCTGCCAATGCTTCTTGATATATTACCTATGTGTGCAAGATCACACCGAACAAGTAATACATAAAATTCTACAGAGACACACAGGTGCAAAACAAAATAAATTTGTTTACTGTGTTTTTTGGATTATTTTAGGTTGTGAAATATGATGTGCTGTTTTATTAAGGTCTTAATTACCAAAATAAAATTCTCGAGTAGTTTCTGTTGGCATATACTGTACATCTAACGTTTTTAAGGAAACATAGAAATAGATGGAAAAATATCTGGATACAAAGATATAGAAGAGTTGAAAAAATCCTAATTTTATTAACCCACCAATAGAACCTACATGCTGCAGACTGCATTGAACTTCACACAAAAGGGTTGCAAAAAGGACTTTTCTCATTCTTCATTGAACTCCCCTGTGATGGGTAGTGGGGACCACATGTGTTTTTTTGAGCAGTGCTGGACCCCAAGCTGTGGAGTCTCAGGGGTGCACTCATCCTGGCAGTTTTAACCATGCCCTGGCATTATTCACCCCTCTCAGTCCAGTTTGTTTGTTTTTGTAGTGTGAGTGCTCCGAAATGTCCCGGGGAATGGATAAGTATATTATGCCCAGGACCATTTGGAAGTGGTGGTCCCAGGCATAGTTCCTAGGGTTGACCAACAAAGAAATTTGTGAAAAGAGATTCACAGAAAAAGCGGCTACATTATGGACAGAATGCGATACTCAGAAAAATTTCCAAAAATTATGCTTTATTACACATTAATAATAGACAATCGGGCAATCGCCCTGGTTTACCATCACCTCAGTATGAGACAATACACACAGACCTAAAACCATTTAAAATCACACCAAGACCGGTCTGGATATAAATGTGCTGCAAAGGTTGTGACAACCATAGTCTAAAACATTTGTAGCACCGCACATTGGTTACACTCCCTGTAGGAGGTGTTTTCAAAAAATTGTACCATAGGTATATAATATCACATGCTATGCAAATAGGCAAATACAGTTACCACATGTAGAGAAACATAACCCTAAGCCTATACAAGGCAATATGGGTAAAAAATTGAATGAAAAAATGGGGGATATACCCCAGTGATATAATTATGGATTCAAGCAGTACAACCCTATAAAGGCACATGTGGTTGGGGCCCATCTAC